CCATTAGCATACTTAAAAACCACATGGCTCACAGAAAGGCCAAATATTCTTTAGTTTGGCAGACATTTTTCCAGACCTTACGGATATGTCTGTTCAATTCATTCCTCGTTTTCTTTTCAATAACGTAGACATGTTGATAAAAAGGAATAACAGAAGTGAATACAAACCTATTCGTATGGGAAGATATGTGTTTTTACTGAAACAACCACGTCCAAATTAATTTTGGAACCACTAAAGGGAAAGAAGTAAAATTTGCCTTTTCATGGCCATAACATGTCATTTCGGTCGAACTTCCATTACTGCAACTCCCGATAGTTAGACAGATCGAACATTATTGAAAACACTTCATCGCATCTAAGTATTGCGGATTTACAGCTCAAAATTCATGGATTTGGTGTGCGGCGGCGCGCTCGCAAAATCGCTTTGGTCCCACGGGGTGCAAAAACACAAAACGCGCGATGTCGTCAACGTGTTAAAAAAAACTTTACATTCCTACCGTGCTCCTGCAAAAAATCCTCTGCTGCAGCCTTCCCGTCTCGTACTAGCATATTCGAAACATTAATCCCATTCATTCGACGTCATGCACCGTTCATCAGCCGATGAGACACTTCACCAGTTTGTGTTACAATTAGAGCTTCCGATGGGGACGCATATAGTTTCACTTTCGTAATTTCCAAACTACTCACTAAATGAGCTCGCTCATTCGCATCTTCTTCAGCTCGTTGCCGCTCTGTATCGACGGGATGTTCCCGCTTCTTGTTTCTTCCAATTTTCGTCGATGCGCCGCTGCCTTTCCTCCTTAAAAACCAGTTCAAACTCATGTGGAAAAGGGAGCATTAGCGCTAATGTTTTCGTTGATTTTAGCTGTTTCAACTGTGAAAAAAAACTAGAAGAATATTCCTCATCTTTGTTATTTGCAACGATATTACTGTTCTATACCACTCGAAATTCGATTAGAACACCTGTACTGCCCTCTCACAACACAATACCTTAGCTGTGGACTGTATCAATTGTGATCTGAGCAATAATGTTACACGAGAATCTAGGCACACTAGCCGTTGTCTGACAAAACGCTTCCGATGCGACAAAATCACAATACTAATACCAATACGAATATTAAGCAGGCGGGAGTGCCTAAACTTCAGTCAGCGTGGAGCCTCAAAGTTAATTTTACACATACAGTCGAAAAAAACAGATTAGCATTTTTTTCATATCTTTGCATACAACACCCGATTTCACACTCAGAACGGAAATTTTGGAAAAATTTGAAACTCTTGAACAGACAGCTTCTAATTATCCGTTCCGTACCTGAACATCGTACAGGCTATTCGGCTCTCTAGCTCCAGCCAAAAGGAAATTATGAGGTAGCCACCATGAAAACATTATGTGACTTCGGGTGATTTTCAGTGAGATCCGTTGCCTTGGAGTCTTTCATCACCCCACTACCCTTATCACTGGTCCTCTCTTACCTTCTGTGGGACTCCCCTTCTGAACGTTTTGTAATATACAAAAGATTCAAAGATTTTGGACCCCAAATGGCAATCCTAGACTTTCCTATTCATATATGTAGCAACAGAAACAAGCTTTGCTAAGCGGAGGATATGTTGATGAGCAACAGCTTATTTCTCTGCTTAACTAAAAAAGTGGGCCAATCGGGAAACTTCAACAATAGGTCATCTTCAGCACTTCATAGACTCACCTCTTCGCGTCGCTGCCGTTCTTGCAATTCTTGATCTTCGCGCTTCCTCCTCTCTCGTTCAGCGGCGACTCGATCTACTGTCTAAACATGCATTGAAGGTTTTTTGGAATCATCCGGAGATGTGCCACAAATTTCTAGAAAACAACTCCGGATCATTGGTTAGAAACCATGCGCGCTCAATAACTGCATTATTATGACGATACTAGCACATTAGATTCGATTAATGGTTACAGTTTGATATGATTTGCTCTGCTAACTGCTGTTTTCGTCGCAGTTCGATTCTAACGTCATCAAAATAGTGCTGAGTCATCAAATTTTCAGGAAGCAGGAAGTACGGCTTCGAGCTGCAGCCGAGGAAAGCGCCTCGTTGTAATTTAGCACCTTTGTAATAAAGTGTCTAAATAAATGATTTTGTTAGGGTACCCTATTTTCTGAATCAGAAGCGCTTATTTGAACTTTCAAAGGCTGGAAAGATTCCATTCTCGAAAATCCCAAAAGAGAATCAATAAAACTTTTATTGGGATCCTCAGAAAAAAACGCTTATTTGAAATAGTCCCTACATTTGCATGCAAAATATGATGTAAGAAATTATGAGACAGGAAAATGTCGAACAACTCACGTCAGTAGTCGCCAACTTCTCGAATCGAGCACGTAAGTCCGAGGCTCGAGCTTTTGCAGGAACTTCAACTTTCTCGCGATGACTGGCAGGACTTGGTGATGGCCGATCGTCACCACGAGTTTGATTATTTGATTTGTCGATACCTAAACGATGACATTCGAGATCTGTCATCAGTATTAATTTCGCGTTCGACTTGAACTTTTTTGTCACCGAATAAACGTTTTTCTGGTGCGATTAACCCCTTCACACTTTGATTTGATGCGCCCTCCTGGATAGATTTGGAAAGGGTTTCCGAGGGCATTAATTTACAGCCAAAAGGATAAGCCTTGAGCAGTTTTCAAATGTCATATACTTTTCAGCAATGACGCATCCCATAAATTTAGATGCATCGATGAACGATCCTTTTCAAAGCACACGATAAATGGTAGAATGCAGTGTCTGTCACTGTTCCATTGAACCTAGCAGTTATATATTATGGCCGTGTTCCCACTCCTTCCACCCCCTCAAAACTCCCTTTCCATTCCCTGAAGAAGCCAAACGCTCAGAATGTTCGCAACTTAAAAAATATGACACTTTGCAGAACGCTTCAAGAAAGCGTATTATCAAATTTAAAACAAGGATGAAGAAAAACACCTTTATTGATTACTTGGCTCTCATGTTTAGCCAATTGCTCATGGTACTCGAATCCTGCAGCGCTACGATCCTGTCTATCAGTCTGCACTCCAAATTGGCCTCCGAAGCCTTTCTTATAATCTAGAAGAGAAACGTTGCAAAGAAGTTTCAGTCAGAGAGGAAAAAGGACAACACCTGTCTGGCTCTCATGTTTCCCAAGGTTGTCGTGAACATCGTATCCAACAGCAGCTTTATCCTGTCTATCCGTCTGAACACCGAATTTGCCGCCAAATCCTTGTTTATAGTCTGAAAGCATTGGTTTTCAAACGATTTCTCCTCATCTAAACGTGATGAGTAACAGACCAGTTTGACTGGCGTGCTTCGGAACTTGCTCCTTTGTATCCCAACCCACTGCTGAAGCATCCTGACGGTCTTTTTGAACGCCAAATTTGCCTCCAAAACCTTTTTTGTAGTCTGGAAATAGACTTGTAAGGGATGTTCGCCCACCAGCATCTATAGCCACACTAAGGGTTATATTGTACACCACACCTATGAAGTTTTTTTTCACTCTGATCGCCGAACTCCTCTCCTTTAACCTGTCATAATGCCGTGCCTTTAGAGGTCCTGCAGACGACCGTATGCGGTTCTCCCTTATCGATTCTTAACTTCCATGCAGCTATTTAATAACCCTTGTTCAATTTCATATTTCTGATCTCCAAAATCTCCCATATTTCGCCAACAGCCGAAACGATATTTTTAACAGTCTCATTAGATATAACCACATATTACAGCGGCCGCATCTAAGAATTCTATCTAAAAATACTCACACTTCCCTTTGTCTTGAATTGACAATTTATTAAACGAAACATACCCATTTGGCTTTCGTGTTTCGTAAGCTCGTTCTTCTCGTCCCAACCTGCGGCCGATTTATCCTTTCTGTCAGTCTGCACACCAAATCGACCTCCGTAACCAGTTGCCGCGTCTAAAATGTACTCTTCATAATTCATAGCTGAAAAATTATTCACAGTACACAACGCGTATTATGGAAAGTACAAAGGGAAGAGGAGCCAACAACGTCTGCTATGAAAACAACATGAAGTGAGCTATTGTTGAGAATTAATGGCCAAACTCCCAGATAAGTATAAAATTGCCCACAATTGCCCGATGACAAGCACCAACACACAAGGACAGTTCACCTGACCTTGCCTTTACACGGATGGTTTGCAATAACACCACTGAAGAATAGTAATCAAAGAAAGCAAAGAAGAGAAGAAAAAAGTGAACAGCAGTTTCAACCAACGGTAGTGAAACACAAACCTTTCTGGCTCTCATGCTTTGAGAGTTCAACCTTCTCGTCCCATCCTGCCGCCGATTTATCCTTCCGGTCAACTTGGACACCAAATTTTCCTCCATACCCGGTAGACGCGTCTTAACGAATACTGTGAATAAATTCTTGCACAACCATAGACAGACAATGGTTCTAGTGAAGGAAAAAGGGCGCTTATCTCTGACAATGGTTTTAGTGAAGGAAAAAGAGCGCTTTATCTGAGTCTTTTCGAGTGGAGGGGAGGGAGAGCAATGGATGGTGGTGCAGCATCACTCACGCTCAAGGCAAGAGATCAAAGTACTGTCAAAATGAAGGGTCGTTGTGCGACGACCAAGTACGCCGATTTCCTCAGTTGAGCAAGAAGAATGACTTGGTATAAAACACCACTGTACATTACCATAGATATACTGAGGGTAGCAATAGGCACCGCTCTCAGGAACATGAATACTTATATCTATGATTGCCCACAATCGAGAAACCGGCTAGCTACTCCAAAATAATGAAGTCTCAAACGGACACGAGCAAAAGTTCAACTCTGAAATCTTGAATACGTGAAATGCCACTGTTAATTAAGATGCAAATGCAATGGACCATGCAAATTCTAAGGGAGTACGAAGTTCATTATAGAAATAGTAACAGCCAGAGCGTTTTTTTTTTCATGAAAATTTCGGTGGATATTTGAAGAATGATGTGAATCGTTTACCCGATGATGAAACCAGCAAACTTTCTCCCACTTTTGCTCATCTTGGAAAGAATTGAACGTTTCTGCGGAAGATTACAGTGCTTCGAAAGAAAGAGAAGGGAATGAGAGAACAGCTTCCACGTTTTTAAAACCAACGACAATGAGCTTTTCGTTCGACCACCCAATACAAGACTTTTTTGACAACAAATGATAGCAGCACAACCAAAAGCATCGGCCGGTCTCGCAATTTAGCTGCCTAGCTTTGAACGATTCACATTTATAAAATTGAACTGATAGAAAGGTGAATATTGTGGCTGCTAAATGATGTAAGCAGAGAGCAACTACAAGAGCTTGAAAAAATCGGAAAGTAAATCAGGGAAGGGAATTGAATATGGCTTAATACCTTTTTGACTTTCATGCTTCGATAGATCAACCTTCTCGTCCCAGCCCGCAGCGGATTTGTCTTTGCGATCCGTTTGCACACCGTACTTTCCACCAAAACCTATAGAGTAGTCCTTTTGCGATGCGTGGGCTTCCACCTTTCCCTTGTAGTCAAACGACACAGCTGTCTGAAAATAAAGTTGTTGAACGACGCGTAAGGAGCTGCAAGTATTCAGGACTTCTCCATACCTTATCCATCCGGTCAGTCATCACTCCGAACTTCCCTCCATATCCTTCACTAGGCTTCGGCATTTGTTCAAGTTTCTTCTCCTGTGGAAGTGTTCAATCAGAGCCTTCGAGCAATAAGTCAACGGAAGTACTGCTCACATACCTGCTGAATTTTGTCTGCTATTAATGCCTCTTGTCGGAACTTGTCCATATTGAAGTGCTCCTGGTGTCCAGAGCCTTCAACAGTCTTCGCTCCCCACCGACTCGCTTTTTCGCTGATGTCATTCTTAAGAATAATATTGCTTTACAAGTCTGCTCCATTATCATACGCCTCAGTAACATACTATGAAATCAGGATCGGTTTCCCACTCATCGTCCTCAACCGGTTTCGGCGCTATTGGTGGTTTTACACCAACTGCTGCTCGCCAAGTTGACATCAGATGGTCTATATGTGAACAGAAAATATTTATACTACGGCGAGCGGATGTGAATATGGAGATCGATGGGTCACATTGAATACACCACGAAAAAAAATCATTCGATGCGGATATAACCGAAAGATATAAAGATGCCGGTTGAGGATCTTGTATACGAGCTGATCGCAGTACGTACCAGCTAAAACTTCCTGATTGCAGCCATCTGTCTATTGAAATGGAGAACTACTACCTTGAAACTAATTCTAATGGTAAGTGTACCAATTGAAGGAACTAAATAGTAACGATGGGGTGAAGATCGAAACTAATCTTAATGGTAAGTGTACCAATTGAAGGAACTAAATAGTAACGATGGGGTGAAGATCGAGCCACTCAGTAGAACGCAACACCGCGACGAGAAATTCTGGATTCTCCCGGCTACTGTTTTCGCAGCTGTTGCGCAGATGCGCAAAATTTCCTATCTATTTGAGGTCCTCATCTACATCCTTCACAACCTCGCTTTCATATAGAAAATGGATATGAGTGGGAAGCGCTCCGTGATGATCAAACCCCTTCGTATGCACTCATACTCGGATCGGTCTTGGCATTAAAGTATGTGGTAGCATTCAGAACGAGAGGAGAAATGCTACAATTTTTGCAACGACTACCCAGCTACCTTCCCTTGGTGATTTAAGGATTCCTCAAATTTATTACAAGTCGACATCGAATTGACATGTATGGCGCATCTCAAGCTCTTTAAACGTCAAATAATTTGTTTTTTCGACCCGTTTGCGTGGTAGTGGTGCCATCAGCACCCTATAGGCAATTTCAACCAAATTTTGTGACGGGTCAAATTCCTGCTTTGCTCTTTTTCCTAAATAAGAACCTATTACGAGCTCGCAATCCCCTATCATTAATGATAAGTGCTTTACCAGTCCAGGAGCTTTTCTGTGAAGCGTCAGTGCCCGGGTCCACCATTTATTTATCCGTACCTTTCCGCGCTAAGTCAGCCATTCCCCTTTGTCTGTATGCGCTTGCTTTCGCGAAAGAACAACGGCAGAAATGGTTAAACAACGCTTGGACGAGTAGGTGACGACGATTTTCAATTATAATAACTGCTTGGCACTTAACACCAATAGTGCTCCCTCCCTTCGCCTTCTTTTAGATTGCTTTATGAATGTCCCAATACCCCAGCAGTGGAAAAGAGTACCTTGCAGAATTGAGAACAACTAAGAATAAGGTAAGTACCTTCAAGTTAATGGCACAAAGTAGGGAAAGGAGAAGCAAGTCATAAACAGATGATGAACAGCATCATGGCTGCTCTAATGGTAAGCTTGTACCTCGCACTCACTCCAGAAGGGAGGAGGAGAAAACACTGACTAATTGGTAAGGGAAGAGGATACTATATTGCGGAAGACACTGACGTTTTGCTAAAAAGGTTCTCATCGTCTTTGTATGGTGATCCAGCTTCAAAAAGAAACCTCATTTGAAAAAAGCCGATGTATAAACTGATAAAACTAGTAAATATTTGTCCTCACATTATCAGTTTGAATACTTGTTACTACTGTAATGACTGTGTTACGCCAAGTATAAATTTAATACCCAGATACTCAATTGCAGTTTCGCAGCTAGAAGTCAGCACTTGCGGAAGAGCCTCGTGAGCAGAAGCAGAGACTAACGGCTGTCCGAAAGAAACTGGCAGCGACACGGTCGTGATACAGATTGATAAGCATGATCAGAAGTCTAGCGGTGACGGCAAACTATCAAGTAATCCAACCACTTAACAACGCATTTTCGAAGGCATGCATAAATGAAAAAGCCGTCTCTTCGTTGACAAAACTTGAGAGTGATTCTCTAGCATTAACTCGCCAGAGTTTGCCAGCGCAATGCTCATTTACTGGCAAGTAGTTCGTCGAAGACAACATTTCTCAGATCACAGTCACATCAAAATTTCCCTGGTGTCACTGGTGTCATCTAAAAGTAAGGCACTTGCTGAAAAGAATTGGTGGGTGCAATAGATTACCGTAATCTTAACTTTGGTCAACGAGCCCTCAAAAGTTACATTAAGCTGTTAGCATCCCTTCTAGCCATTTCTTGATTCTTCAAATATGCTATTTTGGTGCTGGATGGTGCGTAGAATCAACTACTACTCAGCTAAATGAATGGGGACTGCTACCTAGACCGATGGAACGCTGATGGGTCTTCCAATGATATGTGCTCCATGCGCCCATAATGAGGGTTTTTGCCTAATCTGGAGGGCAGGGGATGGGGGTGGTTGGAAGATCCGATTCACCTTCCACAGATTTAGAAACAAATCCTCATCGTTCTTGGCCTTGTCTTGGGTGCTCTGCCAAACACCTTTCCCTTTCCACCTATTGGAAGAGCGCCAAAGGTTTTGTACTCAATGCGCGTGAGAAGATATCTGTGAGAAACAGACGACGCGAACGAAAACATTACACTATTACGAACATTACTGCATAATTACTCAATCCATGACCTAGAAGAGAAGAAAAAGTATTAGGTTGTGGCAAAGTAAAAAAAAAGTGAAGGTTACGAAAGCAAATGTTGAGGGATTCACTATTTTTTAGCAAGAACTCCTCTTAAAAAATTGTACTGTCACTTCTGTCATTGATTTTAAAGACGTGATCAATCACTTGAAAGTAGTAACGGATTGTGGAAGCCAAAGGCCGAATTTATTGATTTATTGCCAGCCATGGCGCAACTCGCACAACGGGACTATTATTGCTAGCAGCTTCTTATTTCCAGACATCTGCCACTGACAGTGTGTTAAAAAATTGGATGAACATGCAATGCATTTTTCTCTTGGAAAATCGATGGAAGTATTAGTAAAATTATGAAAATTCATCGAAAGTCATTGAAGCTAATTCAGGAAGGAGAGGAAATTCCTAAGGTTGAAAACAAAAACCGCCAGAATCAAAAAAGGATTGCGTGAAGCCTCTTACATAGATATGTTTCTTCATTACCCGTGAAAATGTTAACTTGAGTTTTTGACAATAAGCATGAGACGAAACAAACAACTTTCAGGACCAGTTGCCACTGGTCGAGCCACCTAAGCAGCAACATTTGAGTTTTTTACATTTCATCGTCAATTTTACGAAAAGTCGGAACGTCGAGCAAATGTAGCACAGGAAAGAAGTTTTATGAAATGAATGTCGATTTCGTTGGGGAAACAGGGCAACAATTGGGGTGACTAAGTTCGAAAGAACGAAAGAAACATGAGGGAGCTGTTGAAAGATGACTCAGCCACAGCGTGCAGGTTAACCTGCGTCTCTGCCTCCGAACGGCAGAGCGCAGACGGACGAGTACACGTCGTGTGTGTGGGCGCATTCGGTGCCGGCTGGCTACTTGGGGTGACTGCTCCTACCCGTGGAAATGGCCCGCAGCGCGATGACAGAACTGACCGATGATGAAGCTGTTCAGAAAACGCGATACGCGCTTGGTTAGCTGAGATGGGCTATGACATCGGGAATTGCACAAAATGAGCCTCCCCTATGAGCTCGTTTTACGGGCAATCCTCTCTCTCGCCTTAAAGGAATCTTGCGCGGAAAATTCTTGCACTCTTTCCTAACATGAATATGTCAGTTGTGATCACTGGAAATAGCACACAAAGTTTCACGCATGAAGATTCGGTTTCTGAAGAGAAACAAACGTACAAAAACTACACGTTATGGACCATCGAAGGACCAGGAGGCAGAGCCAGGCGAGGCATGGAAAGAAGACGGCGTTTGGCCGGCTACGTACCAGGCGACGCAATGAGAGAATCGGGTTAAAGCGCGCGATTTCGGAGAGTGAGACAAATCGATCGATGGAATAGGATGGAGTAGAAGTGTAAGATGTGAATGCAACGAAGCAGAAGGCCAGAAAGAGCTTCTAGTGAATGCACTCCAAGAACCAAGTTTGAGCATCCCCGTCGCCAGCATTCGTGAAAGACGTCCGTGGGCAATTCGAACGCGTAGCAGCCTTTTCGAGTTTTCGAATTTCTAATCAAAACGAAAGCAATACTTCAGTTCTTTTCACTATTATCGTGGATAATGAGTCTCAAGCCAGTGATTTATGGCTGAAATAGAATCATGATTTTTCCGCGCAAGATTCCTTTAATGTTTTTCAACTCACTCTCCATATCATATCCCACATACCAATACAGGGTAAACCGTACACTTGTACACTTGGTTAATCTGAGCGGGAGTCGTATTTGGCTCAGTGGTGGAGGAGGGTGAAGCACGAGAATTGTGTGAGGCCGCAAGGAAAGTGACGACCATGTTATGTTAGTTCAGTCCAAATGGAGCTAGATCAATCTATAGGCTTAGTCTCTCTAATTTCGTAGCACGACAGGGATCGTAATAGCCGGCTTTCATGGCCATAGCGAAAGGAAATAGACTTTTCTCAGTTCAAATTCCGCTGCGCAATTTGAAAGCCAAGGGCGGCAGAAGGATGTAGTGCAAGTGGCACGCTTACCACGCGAGCGGTCGGGGATCGAATCCTGGGTCGTGAGTCGCCAGGGCCAACCAAGCCTTCCATCCCTCCGGGGTCGGTTAACTGGTACCAGACTTGTCTAGGAGGATAAAAACACTGACTTGCACATCGGCTGGCCACCGCAAGCCGATGTACAAATGAAAGTAGAATTCGTGCCGCATCCCAAGACGGGATTGATTAACAGCAAGCGCTTCATCCTTTTATCCTTTAATTTTGAGCCACAAGCGTGTTGGCTCACCTCTGAGCAGGACTTGCCAGCGCCGAACGCTTCAGATTTCATTCCTCACCAGTGGAAGGTGTTTCAGGTAGATTCCGAGGTATTTGGATTATGTAGGGATGTGCAATGGCAGGGAAGAGTTGACTTCTAGGGGTTCCAAAGAAAACTTATAGCGTGAAGGACTTTATTCATATTCGTATTCAATCTTTGACTACGAAGCACAACTCATATCTGTCAGCTAACGAGGGTCTTCAGGGTGTGCCAAGCTTTTTCAAAACGGTCTTTTGCATGATATAGGCACATGCGGGAACCA